AGACGATTTCTGCACAACTTCGACTATTTATTAGTCACACCGAAACGCTTGTGTGTGATCAGTTAATGGTACAAATCGGATCGAAACGTCGTCATAAGTGTCATTCTCCTATGGGTTATTTGTATATTGAAATACGAAATAAATTTTTATTAAGCGATATTTTCTTCTATAATTTTCATTCTATTAGCAAGAAAAGTTCTGTATTTTTCGTAATAAAACTTTATTTACGTTATATCTGGGCGTCTTTAAATGAAACTGATTTTTTATGGAGCAGAGTATTCAGGCTTATGTATACTACATATAATGATCTTTTTCGCTTGCATGTCTTTGTAATGTATAATGTTTTAAAAAATATAACAAATACATCTTTAAAATGCAGCAAATTACGTAGCAATTTTATATAAAAAATCGGGTAAAATTAACACTTCAAATTTGAAAATATCGTAGTTGTTTATTAGCGCTTCTCACAACAGTCAGTTAGTGCTTCTCACATCAGTCAGTTAGTGCTTCTCACATCAGTCAGTTAGTGCTTCTCACATCAGTCAGTTAGTGCTTCTCACATCAGTCAGTTAGTGCTTCTCACAACAGTCAGTTAGCGCTTCTCACATCAGTCAGTTAGCGCTTCTCACATCAGTCAGTTAGTGCTTCTCACAACAGTCAGTTAGCGCTTCTCACATCAGTCAGTTAGCGCTTCTCACATCAGTCAGTTAGTGCTTCTCACATCAGTCAGTTAGTGCTTCTCACATCAGTCAGTTAGTGCTTCTCACATCAGTCAGTTAGTGCTTCTCACATCAGTCAGTTAGTGCTTCTCACATCAGTCAGTTAGTGCTTCTCACAACAGTCAGTTAGTGCTTCTCACATCAGTCAGTTAGTGCTTCTCACATCAGTCAGTTAGTGCTTCTCACATCAGTCAGTTAGTGCTTCTCACTTCAGTCAGTTAGTGCTTCTCACAACAGTCAGTTAGTGCTTCTCACATCAGTCAGTTAGTGCTTCTCACATCAGTCAGTTAGTGCTTCTCACATCAGTCAGTTAGTGCTTCTCACATCAGTCAGTTAGTGCTTCTCACATCAGTCAGTTAGTGCTTCTCACATCAGTGCAGTTAGTGCTTCTCACAACAGTCAGTTAGTGCTTCTCACATCAGTCAGTTAGTGCTTCTCACATCAGTCAGTTAGTGCTTCTCACATCAGTCAGTTAGTGCTTCTCACAACAGTCAGTTAGTGCTTCTCACAACAGTCAGTTAGTGCTTCTCACAACAGTCAGTTAGTGCTTCTCACATCAGTCAGTTAGTGCTTCTCACTTCAGTCAGTTAGTGCTTCTCACAACAGTCAGTTAGTGCTTCTCACATCAGTCAGTTAGTGCTTCTCACATCAGTCAGTTAGTGCTTCTCACATCAGTCAGTTAGTGCTTCTCACATCAGTCAGTTAGTGCTTCTCACATCAGTCAGTTAGTGCTTCTCCAACAGTCAGTTTAGTGCTTCTCACATCAGTCAGTTAGGCTTCTCACATCAGTCAGTTAGTGCTTCTCACATCAGTCAGTTAGTGCTTCTCACTTCAGTCAGTTAGTGCTTCTCACAACAGTCAGTTAGTGCTTCTCACATCAGTCAGTTAGTGCTTCTCACTTCAGTCAGTTAGTGCTTCTCACAACAGTCAGTTAGTGCTTCTCACAACAGTCAGTTAGTGCTTCTCACATCAGTCAGTTAGTGCTTCTCACATCAGTCAGTTAGTGCTTCTCACATCAGTCAGTTAGTGCTTCTCACATCAGTCAGTTAGTGCTTCTCACATCAGTCAGTTAGTGCTTCTCACATCAGTCAGTTAGTGCTTCTCACATCAGTCAGTTAGTGCTTCTCACATCAGTCAGTTAGTGCTTCTCACATCAGTCAGTTAGTGCTTCTCACTTCAGTCAGTTAGTGCTTCTCACAACAGTCAGTTAGTGCATCTCACAACAGTCAGTTAGTGCTTCTCACATCAGTCAGTTAGTGCTTCTCACATCAGTCAGTTAGCGCTTCTCACAACAGTCAGTTAGCGCTTCTCACATCAGTCAGTTAGCGCTTCTCACATCAGTCAGTTAGTGCTTCTCACAACAGTCAGTTAGTGCTTCTCACTTCAGTCAGTTAGTGCTTCTCACAACAGTCAGTTAGTGCTTCTCACAACAGTCAGTTAGTGCTTCTCACAACAGTCAGTTAGTGCTTCTCACATCAGTCAGTTAGTGCTTCTCACAACAGTCAGTTAGTGCTTCTCACATCAGTCAGTTAGTGCTTCTCACATCAGTCAGTTAGTGCTTCTCACATCAGTCAGTTATGCTTCTCACTTCATGTCAGTTAGTGCTTCTCACAACAGTCAGTTAGTGCTTCTCACAACAGTCAGTTAGTGCATCTCACAACAGTCAGTTAGTGCTTCTCACATCAGTCAGTTAGTGCTTCTCACATCAGTCAGTTAGCGCTTCTCACAACGTCAGTTTAGCGCTTCTCACATCAGTCAGTTAGCGCTTCTCACATCAGTCAGTTAGTGCTTCTCACAACAGTCAGTTAGTGCTTCTCACTTCAGTCAGTTAGTGCTTCTCACAACAGTCAGTTAGTGCTTCTCACAACAGTCAGTTAGTGCTTCTCACAACAGTCAGTTAGTGCTTCTCACATCAGTCAGTTAGTGCTTCTCACAACAGTCAGTTAGTGCTTCTCACATCAGTCAGTTAGTGCTTCTCACATCAGTCAGTTAGTGCTTCTCACATATCAGTCAGTTAGTGCTTCTCACTTCAGTCAGTTGTGCTTCTCACAACAGTCAGTTAGTGCTTCTCACATCAGTCAGTTAGTGCTTCTCACTTCAGTCAGTTAGTGCTTCTCACAACAGTCAGTTAGTGCTTCTCACAACAGTCAGTTAGTGCTTCTCACATCAGTCAGTTATGCTTCTCACATCAGTCAGTTAGCGCTTCTCACTTCAGTCAGTTAGTGCTTCTCACAACAGTCAGTTAGTGCTTCTCACATCAGTCAGTTAGTGCTTCTCACATCAGTCAGTTAGCGCTTCTCACAACAGTCAGTTAGCGCTTCTCACATCAGTCAGTTAGCGCTTCTCACATCAGTCAGTTAGTGCTTCTCACATCAGTCAGTTAGTGCTTCTCACTTCAGTCAGTTAGTGCTTCTCACAACAGTCAGTTAGTGCTTCTCACAACAGTCAGTTAGTGCTTCTCACATCAGTCAGTTAGTGCTTCTCACAACAGTCAGTTAGTGCTTCTCACAACAGTCAGTTAGTGCTTCTCACATCAGTCAGTTAGTGCTTCTCACAACAGTCAGTTAGTGCTTCTCACATCAGTCAGTTAGTGCTTCTCAACAACAGTCAGTTAGTGCTTCTCACAACAGTCAGTTAGTGCTTCTCACATCAGTCAGTTAGTGCTTCTCACAACAGTCAGTTAGTGCTTCTCACATCAGTCAGTTAGTGCTTCTCACATCAGTCAGTTGGCGCTTCTCACATCAGTCAGTTAGCGCTTCTCACATCAGTCAGTTAGTGCTTCTCACATCAGTCAGTTGGCGCTTCTCACATCAGTCAGTTAGCGCTTCTCACATCAGTCAGTTAGTGCTTCTCACATCAGTCAGTTGGCGCTTCTCACATCAGTCAGTTAGCGCTTCTCACAACAGTCAGTTAGTGCTTCTCACAACAGTCAGTTAGCGCTTCTCACATCAGTCAGTTGGCGCTTCTCACATCAGTCAGTTGGCGCTTCTCACATCAGTCAGTTAGCGCTTCTCACATCAGTCAGTTAGTGCTTCTCACATCAGTCAGTTGGCGCTTCTCACATCAGTCAGTTAGCGCTTCTCACATCAGTCAGTTAGTGCTTCTCACATCAGTCAGTTAGTGCTTCTCACATCAGTCAGTTAGCGCTTCTCACATCAGTCAGTTAGTGCTTCTCACATCAGTCAGTTAGTGCTTCTCACATCAGTCAGTTGGCGCTTCTCACATCAGTCAGTTAGCGCTTCTCACATCAGTCAGTTAGTGCTTCTCACATCAGTCAGTTAGTGCTTCTCACATCAGTCAGTTAGTGCTTCTCACATCAGTCAGTTAGCACTTCT